GAGGCCTCTTTATGGTATTTTTGTTTTCCTTTTAGAAATAATTTTGCTAAGCGCTAAAATTAAAAAAAAAAATAAAATATAAATTAAGTTTACGTATAATTCGATATTAAGTCCATTTCGAAGAAGTTTTTGGGAAACTTCTGTATGTAAAAAATAACGACGATTTTGCTTGAAATTTTGTGTTTTCACAGGAATTAAAGCTATGGAATCATCAAAAATGTTGCATAACAGAGTCTACCTTATCACGAACACAAGTATTTCAGTGGCACAAAGCCTTCAGTGAAGGTCGTGAAATCATCGAAAACTTGTCTCATGCGAGTCCTCCATTCATCCAGCTCTGCTAATGACGATAACATCGAAAAAGTTAAAGAAACAGTGCTTGAAAATCGTTGTGTTGGCATTAGAAAGGTAGCAGATTAGCTCAGAATCTCTTATGGATCGGCTCAACTCATTTTGGTAAACGTTTTTGGGTATGAAGCGTGTCAATGCTAGACTCGTACCAACAAATAAATTGTGTTTAACAGACCTGAATCTTTTGCAAAAACGACGTCGACTAGACGTCGCAAAATAGACGCTTTACAACGAAGTTGAGGACCCTACATTCAATAAACGCAACATTACTGCTGACTCGAAGTGGGTTTACGAATATGACTTTGAAACTGTCCAACAATCATGCGAATAGCGCCAAAAGTGAGTCGAAACCGAAGAATTCCCTAAAGGTTCTGAATCTAAGATATGAACGGAGAAGAGAATATCAGCGTAGTTTTTGTTCTATGTGTTTCTGCAGTTTTTCTGAACACTTAAAAATCGACCTACCAAATTTTCCTTTAATCCTGGTAACACAAAAATTGTAGTTAATATTAAAATTAAAGAACCGGTTTAGGAGTTATAACATATGATAATAAAATAAGTTATTGCCTTACAAATTTATCCTAGTCCGAAATAATTATTGACATAAGCTCAACAACGTTTGTTTTATTCTGCTATAGTGGTTTCATGAGATAGAGAAAGAGAGAGAGAGAGAAGAGAGTGAAAAGGGATACTTCACTATCGACTTTATCTAACGGAAAGTTCATGATTTTTTTTTTCGACGAGATTGGATAATACTGACATGGATTTTAGGGACTCATTTACGTTGAAGAATCTTAATGTTATTGAGTTATGTATCGAGTTGTAACCACCCGGCGTGGCGGTTTTGCTTCCCGGTGACTCAAGTACTTTTACATACTTGTCTGTCAATTCAATTGACATATGTCTGGGACCTCAAAATAATCTAATATCATGAAACTTAATGCTTCCAGGGTCTCAGGGGTCAAGTTTACTGAATTTATTGTTACCTTATCTGAGGAACATATGTGCACGTGTTCTCAAAATGAATAAATCTGTTAAATGACATTAACTCAATGAACGCTAAGTAGGAATCTAAAATATTGGTTACATAAAAAACTGTGAGGAGTCTTGTGCAACATATTTAAGACGAACCGAAAGCACTATAAAATAAGGTTAAGGAACTTTTTTAAATTCAAAATACTATTTTGGGGTCTATGAATATTCGCGAAATATTTTTGGTTGTCTTATGTTGTCAACTTCCTTTTCCTCTACAAGAGCTAACAGATATTTTCAAAGAACACACAATTATTTAATTATACTCAAATGAATAGAGTACTCCTATTAATGTGAACAATGCTGTAATTAAGTGTGCACACATAGGCGCTTGCGTGTTTTTACTGTTAGGTTTTGTGTTCAATTCTGAAATTTTCGAAATTTTATCTGGTATTGCACTCAATCATACACTCACTTTAATTGTTTTTCGTTGCACTTGACTGATGCCGATACTTTTCATGCATGAACTGGAATTCGTAGTAGGCGAAAAGCAAGTAAAAAAAAACACATGGATGAGATTAGAAAAACAACAAGCGAAACATTCCAAGCCGGAAAATGCATTAGGCACTTCAGGCGGCTTGAAGTGGGTGAAATAACAGATACGCCCGATTGGAGTGCCGCTCGCCTGACATGTGCAGCAGCCTGCCGCAGGATCAATGCAACACCCGACCACCAACGGCAATCGGCAAGCACACAGTTTAAGCTTGGAAGTAACAGAATTGTTGTGCCAGCTACATTTTAAATTTGCCAAATATTTACAATTTCGCAACTGAAATTTAAGCTTGAGCCAAAAGTGTTCAAAACTTCATCCCATTTCCATTCGCTTCGTTTAAGTGAACGCAAAAATTTATTTTTCTTGCGATATTTAAGTTTTTTCAATTTTCAGATTTTCATTTTCTCTAGTATTTGATATTCGAATTAGTATAAATTACCCGGCACCTCCACGCTTGACTGAGCGCGTTCATATTATTGCTGCGTTTGCTATTTATGCTCTTTCTCTCCCGATTGCTGGCGCTGCTTCTTAATGCAATATCCTTTTGCAACAATTTATTGATGTCCTCACACCCACAATTCATTCAACCATATGCCACGGTCTCTGTGCCAGTCGGCGCTCTTGGCCCCGTGGGCGAGTGCAAGTGCGGAATTCTTTGCTGAAATGGCTTAATAGGATTTCGTTGCAATTTATTTCGTTTGCCTTCAACACGCTCCATAAACTTATGTAAATCTTCTTGAACAGCGTAACGAATCGGACAAACCAATCGATGATTGGACGGGCAAATAACAGTGGGACGTGCTCGATAATTTATGTGTTTAAACATTTAATCTTATTAAAGAAATCTTTAGGTAAATATATATTATGGAGCGCCGTGCTCTGACCTACTTTTCTGAATCCAAAATTGCGAACTCCATCTCTAGATTCCCAAATTTCACAAACTTGTTCTATGAGCAAATTATCAAATGCAACTAACTTGGTCTGTGAATAGCTGCCGATCCTTATGAGAAATTTCGAGTTATATTATAATCTGGTGAGACATAACAGTTACTTATTTAGGATGCCACAAGGTCTAAGTTTATCAAACAGAATCAGAAAATCAAAGATACAATGAAGTTTTGGAACTGCAAATAAAATCTATACTATATTTGATTGAGGGGTTCCCTACAAGCTAAGCGTTTTGATAAATCATGTTATACGCTTTTCACCTTTTATAAGTTCGTCTAGCTCAGGATTCGACCTTATACGCCACTCGCCGTTGCGAATTTTTGAAAGTTCTCGAAATTGAGTTTGAAATAAGCAACTTCTTTATCAAATATATAACATAAATTTATTGAAAATCTTATTTTTATTCCATGAAGCGTTTTTCCGATTACGAAAAAATCTTAACTCGGTTGTGTGTGTTAGGTTGATGGTCGATCACACTTAGACTATGTGAAGGTCTTTGTGAAGCCAGATAAAAACTCCTGTAGTTGGATATCAAAGCGACTCCTTCAGCTTTGTGACTATCCGCTCCGATAACAGGGCGGTGATGTTAATCTTGAGCTCGCTGATTGTACGATTAAGACTGGTCTCGGGAAACTGCAAAGCTGATGAGTTTGCTGGGTCACTTAGTTCAGTCTCATTATCTGCAGATTGGAAACATTTAGGATATACGTTGGATTGTTGCTGTTTACTACTGGATGGTTGCAAAATCAGTCGCAAAATCCTTCTGGTTCAGGGTAAATCAAAAGCAGTCTAGTGAGCTCTTCGCCCTCAACAAAACCCGCCTTTTAATAGTTATATGTAGTGGATTTAGTTAATAGGTTAATATATCGACATTATTATCATATTAAGCTAAAGACGACTGGCAGTTGCTGACAGATATGAAAAAAAGTATACTCTTCCAACTTAAATTCCGTTTCGCACTTTTACAAACAAACTGAAACACTGTGCCGCATACTCTATCGAATCCAGAGAGATCTAATATCGTGTGCCTTTGCCACAGTCCAAAGGATACACTTAAGGGTTGATTCATCCTGAACGTCTTCTGCTGGTCCGCAACGATGGCGACGATATTTTAATGATTTCACTGACACTCAACACTCAATGGATATATTTGGCGGGCATTTCGCACCACTTCATCCACACATCGAAAATTTCGCATTGAATGCACTTCCATTAAATTGCTGGATTTTTATGTTTATCAGCAACTGGGGAGTTGTTAGCCAAACCAAGAGCTTTCCAAAGCATTAGAATAACAACCGACGCTATCGAGAAATTGTGGTTATGTGTGGCAAATAAAATAAAGCCAAAGACCGATAAGCAATGAGTATGTACGACTTTTTTCTGTTTGGTGGGTGAGAGCACTCGGCAAGTTCTCAGTAATAGTGGTGATGGGTAATTTTTAGTTCAGGTCGCAAATTCAAGTCGTATAAATCCGTATGGCTCACAAATGCACGAAATTGCTTTAGTTTCTTATTTAAGCACTGATTCCCAGATGACAAACGTACGTTTCAATTCGATTCGCCCATGTTACCATGTGTGTGTTTGTTTCTACATGCTTATGTGTCTGTGTATAAAGAAGTCTACGTTGAGCCAATTATCGTCACAATTTATCAGCTGACGGGCTGCGTTGAGGTCACACCTAATTATCGTTTTTGTTGCTGTTGCTATTGGTTTTGCTCGGTTCTTGAGTCAGTCAAAGATTGACGGATAATAATTAAAATCTACAAACGAAGATCTCTTTAAGCCCACTTTAAGTAGGTAAATGCACGCACACACTCAAGTACGCACAAAATCGTGTATGTATGTGTGTGTGTTTGGACCACAAGTGCCTACTTCGCATTGAAAGAAACTCGAACTCTATGGTAGAAACGAGCAGAGCAAATACTTCGAAAAGCAAACAACTTCAAAATGCACGAAGATACCTAATTCGTTAACTGTGTTGTTCTTATCTACTCAATCATCGAAGCAATCCCATGCAAAAGCAACAAATATTTACAACAACAAGCGGATAATAAAAATTCTCAACAAGACAAACTAACTTGGGTGGAGACGGTGAGCTGACGACGGTATCACGTTGGTGCAAGGAGCGCCTTACTCACCTATATACGAGTACATACATACATGCATACTTACATATGTTTATACAGTCGTCCATTGATCGGCGTATCAATTGTGGCGCATCGAAAACTCAGTCAAATGAAAATGAAAATCCAAAATGAAAATGACAAAATACTTCATAAAACAACAACGAAAATAGCACTAACAACGAAGTCATGCATAAAAACTATGCCAACAATTTCGGTTAATAATAGCAACACTGCAGGCCACTCATAACAGTAGAACATCTCCAGGTCATTGCAGAGCAGATATTTCATTTTGAAGGCAACACAAACAACAAAGCGCATATACAAGGAATAGAGCAACAAAAGTAGAGGAGAAACCCAATGAATCATTGAAATCGGCTCAATCGTAAGATGCAATATGCGCACAAATACTGGAAAATTGATACAAATAGCAAGGAACCATCTAGGAATTGAGTGTATTGGCATGTTTTCTTTTCTTTTTGTTGTCAGCTGTCAACTTTGTCTGATTTTCTTAACTATTCAAAATGTTTTTTTATTCTTTTCAGTATTTCTCAAGCTTCCGATCCTTTTTGAGGTTCTAAAGGGTTGCTTGAAGTATTGGCTTGGAGGACTTTGCTTGAGCTATTGTATTTACTTTGATGTTGACCAATATGGCAGCAAGGATCTTATATGAATATCAGTATTCGGGAATTAAGTCTCCGTTGGTACACTCCTCATTATTATTGGTCTATGGTGAGAAAAATATCATGAAATATTATCTCTCGAATCTTACATAATTTTGAGTCCTAGCAGTATGGATGAGGTTATTAATAACGACTGATATATCAACTTTGAACTACAAGAACCATCTGATACCTGAATATTTTACGAAAATGACGTCGAGTAGGCAATTCTCTAGTTGAATATCAACTATTGACAAAACGATTCTTTCAGCTTCGTGACAATCCGATAGCAGGGCGGCGATGTTAGCCTCGAGTTCACTGATTGTACACACAAGACTGGTCTGTGGAAACTGCGAGTTTAAAAAGTTTACAAGGTCAGGTACTTCAGTAACACTATCAGCAGATTGGGAACGCTTAGGAGCTCCGTTAGACTCTTGCTGTTCACTACTGAAGGGTTGGGACTTAGACTAGCTCAGTAAGTGTTGGTCAACTACCTGCAACTGTGTAGTCACAAGATCCTTCTGGCTTAGGGTAAATCGTAAGTGGTCTAGTGAGGTCTTAGCCCTCAGTAAAGCTCACCTTACAATGGTTGCAGCAGTTCTAACATCCAAGAGCTTCTTAACCGTTGATATGTTTGTATTAGCTCAAGAGCCTACTTTGAAGACGATAGCAAAAATTTGAGCTAAATTACGTGAAAATGTTTTTATTGTTGTTAGTCTAGATCCAATCTGATTAGACGATATAAAAACCTTAGGCATTTTTATATGAAAAGCAGATGGATTTCATTACAAATCAATCTTTCCGAGTTGGGAATCAGAGATAACATATCAGGATATGAGGTTTGAAAGATAAAACTGTAAAAAATCGTAAAAAAGCGTCCATAAGTTCCTTACTTAATTATTAATTTCTAGTGGGGATTTACGCAATGGGATAAGCGGTTGTTTGAGTGCACAGACGTACAAATCGAACGTGCTGTAAGTGATTGAGCAGAAGTGGCGACGGAAGAGGAAAATCTGCATACAAATCCGAAATGCAATGGAGTGGATGTGCTCATCTCCATACATATGTATGCACATCTGTGCACGTTCAAGCTGTTGTGCTTGCGAATACAAGTGTACTTACGCATGTAGTTATTGCTTTTGTGGATGAGTATCTATGACGATATTGGGTAAAACGTTGGTAATTCCACTTGAACGCATCGGTTGCAAAAAAACTTTATTTCTACAAATACTTTTATGTCAATTCGGCACGCAAGGGCTAGAAGTCTTAACACGCGTGCACACATTTGGATGTGTATTTATAAGAGTTTTTAGAACAATGCCACGCGACTGAGAACAAAATGAGAACGATGGATGCGCTGTGTTGTGGGTGGAGAAACGGTCGTCGCTTTTACAATTATAGATATTCGTAGCATACTTACAAGTGACGATGCGTATGCGAAAGAGGCACATACCTTTATAGATGCTTACTATTTTGGACATGTCTGGCTTCATATCCAACAGAGTTGCCACGAAATTAAGTTCTTGATACCGAAACCCCTTGTAAATGGCTAACGACCGGGGTGAGACCAATTTTTATAATGATATGGCAATGCCTACCATTTTACCGAATTTGAGCGGAGTCGACTCTTGCTGACTGAGTTTTGTACTAGATACCACTCGATAACACCGAATTGGTAACCTTACTGTTGTGGAATTAAAAAAAAAAACAAGAAAAAACCTCAACTTCGGCTGCACCGAAGCTATTATACCCTTGCAGGTGCATTCCTCATATTATTAAAGCTCTTTATATTGATTTTTATCGATCGGTTTCTATAGCAGCTAAGTATATGCTATAGTTGTATCGGAGGTTCCGTTTATTAAGCAGCTTATTGAGAAGAAAGTTTTTTGCAAATTTTCAGATCGTTATCTCCAAAACTGAGTGAGTATAGCGTATCCGACGTTTCCTTCTGGGTGTTACTAACTTCGTGGCAAACTTAATATATATTTTTCCGAGTATAAAAATATTTCAGCCACCATTGAACTAGACGCTCACTGAATCCGTCGACTGTTCGCTGATGTTTCGGTACTTAAATTATAATTATGGGGAACTTGTAAGCAAGGAGCTGGGACCTATAGAAGACCTTCTATAGAAATAATAGTAGCAATATAAGACTATTCTAATTACAAATATGCTGTAGAAGGGATATCTAGTTTAATATTCTGTTAACCACTATTTCAGAACTTGTATAACCGGTTATCGTTAGAGCTATCTCTAGCAACATGTGCTGTTATTCCAGATACATCTCTATATGGGGAGAGTTTTCTTTCTCTCTCGGTTCTCAAATTCATTCGGAACTAATCTGACATATTTATCGACCGATCTCGCTGAAGAAAATTTTAGCTTAGTATATACGCCTAAATTTAGGTATTTCTCAAGCTGAGATAAAAACAATTAAAAACATTTTTACCATCCATTTTTTATATGATTTTTATTGACATTTAAAGAATATAAAAAATAAAATTGAGGAAATGGCGTCGACTTGAAAAACAATTTATTTACTGCTTTATTTTTGACCAATTCGAGTTTTTTAAAAATACTTAAAATTAAAATTTTCCAAAATTCGAGGCAGGCGCAATAGATAGATGTATAACAAAGATTTTTGTCAAATTTCAAAGGAATCAGTTAAGTAGCACTTGAGATATCATGACAACCACCTACCAGAAGTAGGGAGTGATTTGCTCCGCTCGGCCGGCTTAGAGGCCGCTATATCTCCAAAAATAATTCGAATTTTTAAAAATCCGTTTAAGGGCATATGTTTGAAGGTCTGAACATTGATAACATGCAAAATGAATCGATTTATTCAAGTTTCTAGACCAAAAAATCCCGTTATGTCTTCTTTTATTTTTTAAAGCGGTTGTTCAACACAAAATGGTGCTTTTGACTTATTTCTCAAAGACTTTATTTTCCAGCTTCATAAATGCTTCAAGGATTATGAAAATTTTAATAATTTTTCCTATAAAAGCTGGATTTAAAAAAATCTGCTGAAAGAAAATATTTTTCAAAGTGGCAACACTGGTAAGAGTTGGAAAAGGCGCACAAAATTCAAAAGATAGAAAATTCACAAGAAATGCTATATATGTATATGTATATATGTACGTATTATATGTAAATAAAGCAAGAAGAGATTGGCGAAAACAAAACAATTCAATAATATAAAATCCTACAACTTAACTGGCGGCAAAATATTGCCAGCGATTGTCTTGTGTTATTTGAAATTCTGAAACAATATTATTGAATTGAGATGCAAAAACATAGATAAACATATATATGTAAATTCTTAGCATTTCTAGCATATGCAAAAGTGTATTTGTAAAAACACACATGCGCGCATGTATATATATACATACATATGTTACATAGACATTTATATTACATGTTATTGTATTATTGTTTTTGCATTCAAATCTGTTTTGTTAGCTTGTGGATTACAGTTTTTGTCCCAGAGGGACTTGCGAACACGCACACGCACACACCGCAATAACAAAACTCACACACTTTTAAATAAATATTTTTACACACATAAATGCATTATATAGCTGCGCTACAGCGAGCAACTAGGGAAACTAGTTAGCGAAGGTACTAGTTTACAACTAGAATTTTAAACCTTGCTTTAGTAATCTGTAGCTCGCGTTATATAAGTGCGATCGGATTACGCTGTAGAAGATCGATGTATAGGTGGCACACGAATTAATGCAAAACAAACCTCGTGGACCGAATTTCCATCTACGAAACGCTGCTGAGGCGGCTTGAGGGTGCTACAGCGTCTCTCTTATGCCTATTTCCTTGCACTTTCTACATGTATCATCGTTAATAATACCCATACGGCTCGCATGTGATGCTGGTAAGTTGTGACCTGAGACTAGGCCAACAACTGTCCTGCAGTCTTTTCGAGACCGTATGAGCAAAAACCATGCGTTCTTTGCTTTTGTTCCATTGCCATGATTTTGTCGATCCTGCATGCCCTTAACGCATTCCATCCCATCCTGATTCGTCTGTAAGCCCTTTCGGATTTCTTTTCGTTTTTAGAGACTAGCGTATTTCCTGTGGTGTTTCGGTACCCAAGCGAATGGCGCTTTTGGCAATGTCATCGTCTATTTCGTTTTCCGGAATGCCCTTGGGACCCGGAACCCAGTGTATATGCATGCGGCTTCATATGTGTGTATATTGATGTTTTTTGTGTCGTAATTAATAAAAATCCATACAAAAAAATTTAACAGTTATATTTCACTCCGAAGTTAGATAAGACAAAACTTATATGACGTCAGGGACGTATAGGGACAACAATCCGCCAACTAGTTGCGCTTGTGGTCCATATTAGTGGCAAAGAGGGTAGTTCGTGACTAGTTTTTTGAATTGCAGCGTTACTATGCGGCCTTGCAACGCTATAATCTCTATCGCACACTCAATTTTATGTGTGTGTGTGTTTGTGTGCGCCACTCGCTTTAGGTTTACATTATTAAATGTGTGCGTGATTGAAAAACTCTATTATTGTTTCAACTGCATAGCACTGTATTTCGGTTTGTGGATTAAATCAATAAAATTGTTTTTCCATCATTCCACTTAGCAATGCAAACACACACACATACATATACATATATACATAAACGCATTTGTAAGTTTATTGTTCGCTATATTCAGCGAAAATATTTTCATATTAAATTTTTGCTATTGTTACGGGTATTTGTTTGCCTACAGTGAATTATTACATGCTTCATGCTCAAATGCACACACACACACATGCATACAAACTCATATACTCATAGTCCATCTCATATTTACCCACATACCATACATATGCTGGTTTATTTGTGTTTGGCTTTTGCAGCTCATTACGAACCTGCCACAGTGTTTTTTTTTTGGCCCAACAATTGTTATGCTGTGCCACAGTTTGTTTGTTCAACATCTATAAATGGCCACTCAATTCGATGAACGTAATAGGATTCGAGGCAGACGTCGGGCTTGCAATCGTTTTTTTTTAATTTACAATTTTTTTCTTTTTTTGCTTTTGGTTTCGTTGCACACTTTACGGTTTAGTTTGGGCTTAAAATCACCGATAAGTAAATCTGACAGCATGTTGGGATAAATTTGGCAGATGTACGTGAGTGTGTTTGTGTGTGTGAAGGTGTTTCGTTCATGGCGCTTGGCGCTCATAGAACTGCGAGTGTATTGAAATTGGTGTGTGAATACATAAATGTTTTTGTAATAAAATAAAATGCTTTAAATATACACGCTTACCAACATTGACAGACATTAGAAATGAATTATGTAGCATGTGACTAAATATTATATTTATTGATTTAACATAAAGCATACCAGATAATATTTGCATGTGATTTAAAGACTTTCAGTGTTTTATTTATTTAAAATTTTATAGTAAGTTATGTTGAAATGTGTGATATTTTTGGAAAATATGCAACAATATCAACTGGATTGTACACAAATTTTTCTGTCCCAGAGAATTCATATTCTCTATTCCGCCCAATTCGCACTTGGTATAAAATCATTAATTTTTAAATACATAATGTATATTATAGTCTGCAGTTTTTATTCTTACTCTTGCCATAAGTTCTGTTACAAGTTTAGAACCAAAGATTTTTTGAAACGCTTAAAATTTTTGTGTAGTATTCGACAGGGCATGTTCTTCAACTCTGACCACAAACTGTAAACCAATGGATTCATATCTGGACTTTCAGAGAGTCAATCATCTGCAGCTAAGAAAGCAGAAATATTGCTTTAAGCAACTGTCGGTTGATTTTTGCCTAATGTGCTGAGGCCAAATTTTACTGGAATAACCAATGCTCTCTATCGAAGAGAGTATTGCTTCACTGCTTTACCACGCCTTTTATAACATTTTCCTGGTAAAGTTTTGCCCTAACTTTTTCAAAGAAGTGAAGAGGTGTAACGCCTTTACAGGAGACCACCCACCAAACCATTACAGTAGCTGGTTGGTGACCACGTTGAACTCTTGGAATATCAGAGAAGAATAGACTTCCATGACGTGAAAGTAAGCGGGCACTCCTGTGGAAGCTGAGTTCAGATTTTAAAAACATCAGTGTTTTTTTTATTGACTAAAACATTAAATATGGCTAATATATCCAGTTGAGTTCAATACAAAAAAGTGTATGATAACCTCATAAAAGTCATATAAGCTCTTTGTATTATTTGACTCGTCATTTTCCCAATTATTCTAATTTTGTTTAAGCGAAGCGATCTTACAATTCAGACCTCAAAATAAAGTCAAATTCAACCGAGTTATAAAAGCAGAGCAAATACGTCCAACTAAGATTAATTTCATAATTCTTTATTGTTTTATATTTTATTTTTTTGTTATTGAATTGTAAAAAACGGAGACATTTTTGCAATAAAAATCATTCAAGCTTAAAATATTTTTACAGTTATTATAACAGCTCTAGCTTTATTGTCGTCACATGGCACAAGTTTAAATACATTTCCAGGATCTGTTAGCTGTTATAGTCTACACTTGACGGCTGCGTCATCAACATCATTCATTTCATAGCCTAAATTGAAGTAAATATTTCGTCTCAATCTGTCAGCTTATTCAAGCATGCTTAAGCAACTTTCCACACACATGCTTTGTATAATATTTAGCCTTCTATGTATGAAGACCAGCGACATTTCCGTCAATTCCACAAATAACTAACCTTACAAAGAATTTAAGCCGTCGCTTTAACAACTATTGAATATCAGATAGCAATTTTCACACTATTATCCTTTTTATAATCGCCATATACTTGGCAAAATTTATATACTCGTAAGGAAGTTTATTAGTTCTAAATGGCAAGCGACGTAAATGTTTTATAGTAAAACTTGCATTTTGTGCATAAAAAGTTGCCGGCGCTGCTCAAGCTTCCCAAACCTTATCAAATTGGGTCTTGTGTTGGCAGTAGTATATAAATTCGCTTATTATGATGACATAATACACAGTGAGGTTCAAGTGAATAAGTGCGAATAGTTGTTGTTTAGAAGAAATACGAAATATTTTTCGAAGAAAGTCTAGTAAATCAAATCGCCGATACTTGTTAAAAGAAAAACAATTGCGTTAAATGACACTCGAAGCAGTTGGTGAAAGAATTTGGAAGCATATTGGTATTTTACGATCTAAGCAGTGTGCCGTTTATTCGTTCTAATCTCTTGAAGGAGAAAACAATTAGTGATTTACATTTTTTGGTTTTTGTGATTCAAAATTTTGAAAAAGCTTTTTACTAGCTCTACTAGCTTTACTTTTTTTACTTTTTAAGGATCCCTTTGGAATTTAGCGATGTTTTCATCTCGCGGTTAGTCGAATTAGATTGTCCTAATTCGAACTATTGATCTTGAGCATAAGTTTTTTAGATCTGACCACTAAGTACGAAATTACAACAAATAAGTAAAAAAAGGTTTTCTAAGATATGCAATCTTAGCATCATTTTCTAAAATGTGAAATTCTATCTGAAATGTCCTCATAAATTTTTAGTTGAATGTTTCTAGCATTATTCATAAACTGTTAGTTGTTTTATAGTGTACAACGGCGCGAATGATGATTTCCACCGTAAG